GGGCGGGGAGGTGGTGTAGCGGGAGCGGCATACGCCACATGTGTAGGCGCGCTCGTCATTGGCGTTGCCGAGCTTCATCACATTGGTCTGCCACTTGCGCAGGCAGCCGGGGTGCACGTAGCGCAACGTGCCCTTGCACTGCGCGGTCAGGTGTATCATGTGGTGAGTGAGGAAAGGGGTCTGAGGGTTGGCGTGAGGAGCGGGGGCGGCGACGCCAGGCGGAGGGGGCGCGGTCGGGGTGCGGCCTCGGGCGGCGCGATCCTGCGCGCGGCTCGAGTCCCTGGACGCGCCTTGCAGGGGCTGATGACCTCGCTGGGCTTGCAGTCCTCGAAGCATATCCTACATTGGTACTCCTCCGCAAATTGATCGACCTGGACCCCCATGGGGCCTGCGACCGCTCGCTGGAACGCGACCTGTGCAATGCGCGGCGACGCTCGCGTTGGCATGCGACAGCTCCGACAGGCAGAGGCCTCTAAGCAGAGCCCTTTTCAGTGCGCGTTCGTCAGCGGCGACAGAGGAGCGCACGGCCACACCTGCGGCCGTAAATTCCTGTGTTACGATAGAATATACAATTTGAAAAAGCTCTCACCAGCCTCAAGATCTGAGTGAGCTCGAGATGTCGGCAAGGCCGGGGGGTAATGTGCTTCCGTGTATGGCAGGAATCTCGGATATCAGTACAAGCGCCTGGCACAATGGTTGCCTGAGCGACGTGGGCTGAGGACGAACGCAAAGCAGCGAAGCAGTCATCAGCTGCCGGTGCAACATGTTCAATGCTGCGCTGAAAGCTATGTGATATTGTTCGCAACGCTGGTGACGAGGTGCAGTGGGCGTCGGCCGCTTCGACGAACCGTCACGAGGCCGTCACAGTCAGCAGGTTCGGGTGAGTCGGGTGACACCTGTGAAGGTGTCTTCAAGGTGGCCAGGCCGGGCACCTTGGCAGAGCAAATCGCACTGCAGCGGTACACCTGTGCAGCATCAAGGCATTTCGTAGTTTCGTATTAGCACACGTATGGTCGCACAGCAACGTCCACCTGGCCGGCTTGCAATGAGAGGCAGCAGAGGGCACGCAGATCTTGCAGGCGGTCACCTACACCCTCGCTATTGCGCGTGATGCTCTCCGCACAGCCAAGCCAACCAATCATTCGAGAAACCACGTATCATGCAGTGCTTGGGGGTCCAAGCGATCGTGCCACTCCCCTCACTCCCCCACAAACAGAAACAAAGCAGCTAATAGCGGCTGCCCAGGTGGCTGGCAGGCGCGCTGCGTGGTCATCTGGCAGACGGACTGAAGGTCAAGACCATGGAAAATGCATGCGGAATATGTAGATTTCATTTGCAGATCTCAGACGGGACCAGCAGCTTCTGGGGCGCCCTGAGCAACGACCTTCCAAACCCCAGTAAACCCTTGAAACCTCAGGGTGGCGTCGACCGCAGCTTTGATGATCCAACCCGCCCCAGGTGAGCGTAGTCCTCACTTGCTCAAATCCGCCGCACGCTGGCATGCCCGGCCGTTTGCGCCGCAACTGCATGATGCCCGTCAACCCCGTTGTGCCACTTCCTCACCGCCAAGCGCAAAGTTCGATGGCGCCTTCCCAGCCAGGCTGATGCTGCAAAATGGAAGACTTCTGCGCCACCTTTTGGTCACTTTGATCAGCCACTGGCTCCCAGTCGGCAGCGTCCCCCACCTGCCCGCAGCGCCCCGCCCGAGGTTGCGCGGCCCGTTTCCGAGGAGGCAACTGCTGAGGGTGAACTCCCCGATTGGTTGTTGCAGCGATTGAGGTCTGAGAATGTTCGATCCACGGAGCTCGTTCTGAAATACATATAGCCATCCGTTCTCCACTGTCGTCGGACCTCGAACTGATTCCGAAACGCCGTGTCTCCGACCCGCACAAGCACGCGGAATGAGAGCTTCCAAGCTCCCTCCGCGCGCCCTCTGCGCGCTCTCCCTCGCAATGCTCGCCCTTTCCGCGGCCCCACGTGCGGCGCGCGCCCAGCCCGCCGCCGCGGCCCCGAAGGAGTCACCCGCCGCCACCGCCGCCGGCCGCCCGGGCGCGTCGGTCAGGCAGGTCCCCGCGTTCACCGGCGTCGTGAGCTGCGCCCCCTTCACCGTGCTGGTTGCGCCCAGCAGCGGCCCCGGCAACGCTTCGTCCGTCCTCCTGGAGGCCGACCCCGAGGTCTCCTCGGCCGTCGCCCTGCAAGTGGTGGGCGGAGCAAGCGCGCACACGCGCATGCGCGCACGCGCGCGCGCGACAAAGCGGGCGCCATGCCAGCGCCGTGCGGGGGCGTCCGGGGGAGCTACGTACCATGTGTGCGGACCTCAATTGTGTGATGCATGCTGCCGGCATAGTGTGATGTGTGGCGGCTGGGCCGGACAGCCATGCGCTGCCAGGTCAGATCGTACAATACAGCCGCCTGGCGTTCGCCCGCGCGAGGCGCGCAGTCAGGCGTGCCTTTGGAAATATTGTTGTTTTCCGCTGCCCCATCCAAACTTCCCTTTTGGGAGCCCTATCCCTCTCCCCGATTCCAGTGCAACCTGCTTGAGGACTGCCCCCACCCCAAAGCCTCCCGACAGCACAGCACACGCATGGCAGTGTCCGCCACTCACAACGACCGAGCCTCTGATAACCACGCCACAAAGACAAGTGCCGCCCAGCTCACACCTCCTGCATCGCCCTGACCCCATTCCCGAACCCCCGCCGCCGCAGGCCGACGCCACCCTGTACGTGTCCCTAACCTCGGACTTTGCCTCCCGCGCCCCCATCAAGCTCACCGCCCGCGTGCCGGCCGACAAGCTCACGCGCGTCGCCAGCCGCGGCGGCGCCACGGGTGCGCTGCGCGCGCATGCAGATTGTTCCGCCGCGCGGCTGTGGGGCCCCTGCGCCGTCGCGGCGTGTGTTTGTGTGGGGGGGTGTGCATCGATCGTGCGCCGCGGGGCTGGGCCACTGCCGCCGGCCGCGTGGGACTTCCAGGGGGGGGGCCACATTTGTGATGCCTTCAAAGCGTTGCACGCGCCGACGCCCTGATCTTCGGGTCACAACAATGCAGTGGGGGCCCGACGACTCTTCCAGCCTGATACCCAACCTGCCGTCCTGTCTCGGCCGCCGGGCCTCAAGGGGGGGCGTTCTCATAATCCCCCGGCTCCCCTGCGCCGCCACACCTACTGCGCCGCGCCACCCGCC